ATAAAGATAAAGCTCTCGGCATTCATCAATCCCTGAGGGATGCGCCATGCATTCGACTTCACTAGGTATCGCACGAGGTGATTGAATGCATATCTGACCTTCACAATAACTCGAGGTAGCCTACCGATGTATCGAGCCGGTGCTGCTCTGTTCCCACAGAATTCTGGTACCAATCTGCCGATCCCGGAGGGATGCAAGGCTTGGTGAAGCACTGGCGTCAGGAGCGATTCCATGTGTGTATTGCAGGGCGCTTCCGACCACTGCGTCATATGCGCCTAGGCGATAATCTAATGGAAAAAAAATGGGACTGGTTTTACCTGTAGCGGTGGCAGCCGGTAAAGAATACTGAACTGTCATCCGTTACTGCTATGTAGTAACAGCCAAATCCACATTGAAATAATATTACTATTCTACAACACGTTAACGACATAATGATATCGCACATGATACTTATCACTATCATCTAACAAGGGCGCATGTGGCGCTGTGTCGGAGACGCCCCGCAACACATATGGGATCGATCCCGACGACCCAGGCCCATCAAAGCCTTTCACTTCAAGGGGTTCGTTAGATTGGTACCGGACCTTTTTGGGAAGACAGCAGCACTGCCCCGATACATCGGTTCGCCACCGATAGTATTGTCCTGATATGCGTTCGTCCAATCACCTCTGACGATGCTTAGATGACGTCGAATGCAGGTCGCATTCCCCAAGGCTGATCAACGGCGAGGTCTCTATCCTTCATCTTTTTTTCTACCACATCACGTTACAACGCATTGCGGCCCACCACTAGTGGTTGTTCGCATAAAATGAACAGATGATGAAAAAACAGAAATTATTGCTACGTTTCATAAGAATTCGTTTAAAGTATCACTATTTCGTTAGGACTATGTGCTCTCTTACGTGTATTTCGGTCCCACCACCACCTTTAACCCCGTGTGTAGTAGAATCCACTGACTGCTTGTCGTACTTTCGTTGATTAAGCACACACTCACCACCTCATCAATAATTTCTAAACTAAACAATTCACTGCCTTAGTTTCTTGCTCTGTAAAACCCTGCACTATAATCGGTTGTCTGTAACTTAACTTCCGACTGCAATACGAATACCAGCGACCTTCGAATTACTACAGTACACAATACCACAATGCTGCAGACATTTTTATTCGAACCTCTTTATACGAAAGATTTCATTACAATGTGGAATCACTGCCACAACAAAATATGAATTCACATAGCTTCGTTCTACCATAAACGAAAACGGTTATACATGATCGACGTTGGAACTTCGAAAGAGATGAGATACACCTAAGCCAGCTAACTCAAACAATATGAAAATGAATCGTTGCTTCTAAGCCCCAGATTCGATCGTATACACCCAATAGTAACACAAGTGATACATAAAGGCAGAGCCGATAAGAGAGAAATTTACCCATTTCAGGAAGGGCATCAACACGGTAATAGCTATTATGTCCAGATCAACATATTGAACGCGTAGTAGAGACAACAGAAAGACATCTAACTACAAATATCATCACAGTAGGGCATCTCCCCTGTGTGACCAGCAATCACGAAAGACCAACCCGTTCGGCAGCTGTAGCTCGTGCTCCGCCTTACGTCATAAATCCCAAAACACGAAAAAGACAAGAAGAAAGAAAGGGACAAGTAGAGGAAAGGATAGCATCGAGGTTATCATTTTTCAAACGAATTATGGACGTAAATCCAAGCGCGACGAAGTACAGCTACTACCACGCGCTGGTTAATACACGAATATCGTTAAGGTACCTGATGCATGAATCACTGACGATTGCAACCGAAAATGAGTTAAATGAAATATAAATACAACACGGATTAATAATGATTAGAAGGGAAAAAACTAACATAACGAAATAATGATGACAATGATAGACAATACCACAACTGGCTACTTTGATGCAAAAGGAAAGAAGAATAAAACACCTCTACTAGGACTACAACATATCGGGGTCATAGATGAACGCACACGGAACTGAAACGATTAGAACCACTAACAACGTAACCACGAAAACTAAACCTTGACGAAACAATCCATAGGTCCATCGCAGTCGGGCAGTCGGGTATGACGATGATGCGATGAACGAAGGACAAAGTTGAGCCTCATTCAATACACGATCCATTATGACTATTGAACGATTCTTTGAATAAACTGGCAACGCGCTACACAAAGTACTGCTCTAACAAAGGCAAGCTTGCCAATATACGAATGAATCCGAGTTCAAACAAAACAGCAGATCTCTATCTACGATCAAAATGAATACTCACTACGTTAAGCTCATAGCACAAATAACTAGGATCGAATTTCAAAACTGATGAACTGCCATGTTGTCTGAATTGGATTGTACTTTGAGAACCATGATGAGATACGACTAAAGCACAACGGTACACCGATTAGACGGAAAAGTCATGAGCAAATATACACAAGTGATATCAGATAAAAGTGCGCCCGTAGGGCATGGCAAAAGAACGCGACTAGAGGCGCGAATATTGGAAGCAGGAAAGAAGTGCGATGATGGTTAGTTTCATTGTGCAGAATGCACAACAAATTCTATGATGAGTAAAACGAAAAAAAAAGAAAAAGGGAAAATAAAAGTAAAGCCACTACAAACAAAACGCCAAAACAAAACGGCTTAAATGGTGATGAGAAGTGAAAATATATAAAGTTAGTCAGGGAAGAATGTATGCAATCGCGAGCGCCCTGTAGGACTATGTTAGAAGCTCGCACGATACCCGCCAAATGAAACTGCACAAAGGCATCATATACGGTGAAGAAGCATCCGAGATGCTGAACAACGATACGAATAGACACATATGAACAGAACACGTGAGACGCTCAGAAAACACATACATAAGTAGACAATAGAAATGTGTACGCATGTATATCATCTAATATATAGAAGAGTACACATACGCGTACAAAAAGGCATCAGAGTCGTCTGCGAATTGCGAGGTACGCTCTAGAAGCTACTACATTGACTAATTATTAATACGCAATGAACCGAGACGAGCGGCGAATAGTTCAGTGGTGCCGAACAGATCGTAAGAGCGCACAGTTGGAGGGTCGACGACACCCTCTTTGCTACTGGAGGTTGCTCCGGCAGAATTTACAGGTGAAGAGACACGGTCATGCAACGATGGACTGATGCTGTCCAGACTTGGCGGACTCGCAGAACCGCCGCTTGCTCGTGACAAGCCTCCTCGTCCACCGCATGTACATCCACAAGTGCACGTTCCCGAATCAGAACGAGTTATTTCGGTTTGCACTGCTGCGTTTACAAACACCTGAATGTACATGACACTTTTTCTAATGCACTCTTCCATTTAAAAAGAGAAGAGAATTACAGTTTTCGACAAAATCCATATCATTAGCCAGTTATAAAAAGAAATTTGGCACGCTCATACATTTTCGTTCAAAGATGAACAACTAGCAGACCATCAAGAACAATCTGTTCGTCACCATGTTTTCAAATAAAAAACATATTCCTGGAGACTACGAAGTGCCGACAACATCTATGTGTCAAGATCGTTTCCAAACAAGCTAGACGTATTTTCCAAACCCTCCCAATGCCTCATAGCGGCTGGCAGGACTCCGATGTATATCGGAGGGATTCATCCTCCTGCAGGGTCTCCCAGGCTGAATTCGGTGTTTCAATCAGGAAGCTCAGTTACGAGAAAACCAATACCAGGCTGCTTCGGAACTCCAGAGAACCACAGTAGTCAAATCAGCAAAACTCGGAAAAAAATGGACCACACAACCAGTGAAGACGAGCCATCCACGTATCCAAATGTTTTGCAAACAAATTAGAATTAACCGGATCTTGCAATGTGCAAACCTCTTCAATAACTACGAATGATTTTATGACGGAGCGAGGAATGTCTACTTATCTGAGAACTAATGTCATATATAAACCCTCATACGATTCACTTATTCTCTATCGTAAAAACTTGCCTAAAATACATTACTGAATTAGCACTGGAAATGCGCCTTCAGTGAATAATGCTTTTAAAACTGAATTTTCGTTAGTTCTAACAATTTACATGAAAGCTTCGACCATGCTTTTCGTCATAAAACGAATCTAAATGTCTAGAAACCAAAAACATCTTCATTTTTTACTCCCGCGCTTCTAAATAGCCCAATATTCCCCACATGTACTAGGGATATGGAAGAAAAACATCTCACTTTTCGTATGAAGCCTTTCATTCGTAGTCGTTTACGCGGAAATGTAACCATAACCACATCTCTGAACTCATTTGTGATATAAGTTTATCTTTAGTTAATCATCGGAATTGAAATGAAACTTCTAAATCTCGAAGACTCTGTCGCAACTCCGTTGAATTCCTCCTGATACAGTGATGGGGTAGACCGCATGGACCACGTGAACAAGATGAAATGGAGACCAAATTTAAAGCAAAGAGTTTATGAACAGAAAACCTTAAGTTTACCTACATGGAAACAACAAAGCCACTCCCTACCAGCAAACTACCCCATCAAACTATAACTGTGCTAGGGTCCACGCACTTCTTTCTGAAGACCGTTATTAAAGTGTCCAAGCAAGTAACTATGTAGCAATGCATTTCAGGTGAACTGTTGCTTGAGAACAAAGCATCATCTATAGATTGACTGACGTGTATACCATCTCTCACCACTCCTCAATGTTCTTCAGGAGTTTTCTCTCTCATTAGTCACTAACAGTCCACTCATTTTATTTTTCGCACACTTCACCAACAGATTGCACTACTCTCACCTTACTCTGTCCAATTGTTCCACTACTGCTTGATAAGGATCCAATAACGCCCGTCACTACACTACCGCTACTGGGTGGAACCGGCGCAAGGATACCACAGCGATCACTCATTGAGGAAGCACGAGCGGTCCAAACCGGCGAGAACCTAGTGTCGGCTGGGCTCCATTGCTGTTCAGCTGGACTGTGCATAGTATTGATTGCCTGTAAATAAACGAATAAACTTAAAGACAATAACAAAAAAGAAGTAATCGAGAAACCTGTGAGATACTGTTTCTGTTATCCCAAAGAGAAACAGGACGACTACCAGCTTGAACCAGCGACCCGCCAACAGCACTACGATTGTTTGAGAGTGCTTGGACTAGCGGCTGATGAGCAGACATAGAACGTGCGATTGGACGAGGTCCGTATCCTCGCGCTGACGATGGACGCAGCACGTCCAGGTCGGGAAAATGCTATAACATAGTGACTCTGGCATTATCACACCTAGACAACCAGGGTGGATAAGATCGTTAACGGAGAAAATAACACTGCGTCTACCTGCTTAATAAAACCTGGATAATCGTAGTGAGGCAAGTTGCGGCGTACTGATACATACGTACGGTTAGGGAACAAAGCAAAAATCCATGGATGGCTTACAACCAAATTAAGGAATTCTTGACGACCTAGAAAATAGTACATTTAGCACGCCAGGATCACAGTGACACCTACAAATAAGATATACTTATGCGAATCTTATATAAATATTTTTATAAATCTTATATAAATAATATACAAATATAAATATATATATAAATCTTATATAGATAATAAATATTTTCATCGGTGTCTTTATCAACACACTTTCACCAATTTGATCTCGTATTTCAGGCGCCATATCGGGACCAATAAAGTAATCGTAGAGGCTTTGAATGGCAGTTGCACCACCACGGCGTAGAAGATAGGACGCAAGGCGAAGCACACAAAGGTAGACAGCTGGGCTCTAAAAAAGCAGAACGCCACTTAATCGTGCTGCTACCAACTGTTCTTTATTCAGGCGAACGAACATGCACTATTTTGATGAATACCTGAAGTGCAATGTTATCCTCAGGTGTCAAACGAAACAGGTGAGTGCGACGCTCAACAAACTGGCGGCGTTTCAGTGAAGACGTACCAACATAACGAAATAGCTCATCGTCAGCACAATTTGACATTTGAGAATGTAAGCTAGAAAAGTTGAAGTTGTTACCCCTATGACCTTTTGTGAAAAAGAATACTGGGCAATGGTCTCCCGACTACTCCAACGGAGAAATGATTCATAATAAACTAAAGGATTACTACATTGGAATACTAAGAACATCAAAATTGAAACAGAACCCAACTCACCTGCTTAGCTGGATTTGTGTAAGCGCGTGGCGTTGAAAGATCGCTAACAAAGTAGGAACTGCTCTGGCTTCAATAACTGGTGAATAGGCATCCTTTGAACTCGGTGGTGTCGGACATGCCTTTTCTAAGTCGACTTCGGGTGCATTCAAAAACACTTGTTCCGCTTCCTATAATCCACTTCCCATTAAAAAAGAAACGGAAACGACCCAACCTTTCAAAATTGTTCAACTGAAGAAATAATTTGAAACCAACTTGTCCATAGAGTGGATAAACTAGTGTCGCTGTATACTCGTTTGTTTCGTTGAGTGATGCTTGAAATGACAAAGTGAAGCCCACACGAAGCACCGAAGTGAGATCCGTAAGCATCTGAAACAACTGTTTCCAGTCAACATCAGGAGTGGCACATGGTCGAAAAACCACGATTGCACTAACCTGATCACAAAAGTCTTTAATCTGGAATGATATGACCATTTTATTCTTGCATGTAATCAGACCGGCTTTACCGGATAGCCAAGTCAGCTGTCCATAACCTTGGATTGATTCGGCTTTTGAAGTATGCAGATCTAACTGATGATGATTTGCCACATACGACGCATTAGCGCTCATTAAAGTATTCATTGTTGGTATTAAACCTGGAATAGTGAGCTATTTCAAAAAATCTCCAGCTCCCTCATACTGAAATCATCTACGCTCGGAGACGTCTTTAGCAAGGAAACGAACCCGTGGATCCTCCGTAAGCTTGAACCGTACCCGATGACCAAATACTGTGAGGATGATGTGGTTGTTGTGCGAACATTCCACCTATTTCATACGCCATTTTGTAATCGTTCGAATTCACTTCGCTTTTTCTCGACGTCCTAACCTGAGATGGTTCTTCCAGCAAGTCACAGTCGTGGTTATTTACCTCACGTTCCCATAGAAACGACGCCTCGTCGCCTGCACGTAGATGACCACGAAAAATTAGATCATAGAAAGCTGATGTCAAAATCAGAAACACTACATGAACAACATTACATCACGGTAGAATATTACTACAATCAATACAAAAGGTTTAAAGTGAATTTTTGCCACGGCAATGTAACACACAGAATCTACGCTAAGAACCATCTGAGGACATCACAGTTAGAGCACTGGATCTTTCGACACCTAAATAATAATCTGGCAAATATTCTCTTATCGAAAAGAAAGTTAGCAGAGAACTCAGACTTATCAAACAAAGAGACATAGAAGGCGAAGACAAGAATGTTTCAGAAATGTAAACAGCATTGAAGAACGATGGTTTACAATGATGTCTTTTAATCACAGAACTCTTGACTATTACAGAGATACAGTGCTATCCTTACCAAACCTTTACCTACCTATTCTCAATGTGTCTCAGATCCACATAGATTCTTTAGTAATACCTTCAGCGCACCACTTTTTTCCTCAGTGAAAACTTGACTGCATGTGAATTTGTAATAGATGGCGACCTCGAATTTTGTGATTATGCCATATTGTGGAATTCTCATCGAGCACATTGATATGTACATACATTTATATATATATATATATACATGTATATATATAGGTGCATTTATTTTCTCAGATGAGCTTCTTCTTTCACACCTACTGTGCGGATCCCAGCACTTCCTGAATTTCGTTCGTTTCTTCGCATACATCATCCACGGATGTCTTCGGACTTTTCGTGTGTGGGTTCGGCTGCTGTATGAGGATTGTTATCTCTTGTCTTCATGCCGTTGAATGCTGGTCGAATCAATTCTCTTTCGACTCATAAGATAGCTGTGCCAGAGCGCCCCCGCATGAATTTAGGGAGCAAGATGGGCACAGACAAGCTTCGTACTAATTACTCGACCCCGGAAGGATGAGAGGCTTGATGAGACAAACAGTCAAACCAGAGCTATATATATATATATATATATATATATATATATATATATATATATATATATACATATGCGTATATATATATCACAATATATATGCACATATGTACATAGATATACTAGATATGTATATATACATGCATATGTGCATGTACGTACATGTATACAGATGTGCACGAGTAAGACAGTAGTTGCGACATCTTTCAGTAGGCTCCCCATCCCTCCGGGCCATGGCGTTGAGCACTGTCATGTCTGGGACCAACTCAGTCTTTGCAATCCATAAAAGCCGGCGAATGCCTGTGATGAAGATTTGTATCCGCTCAACTTAGCAATGTCAAGATTTCAGTAGGAATCGGCTCGTTCTTCAACCAGCCATATTATGAAGGCAACCAAAAAAAAAATGGCTACCAGCACCCGTACATAAACGCAAAATCCGAAGATCTTCGTGGAGCATGGATATGTGGAAAGGAATCAAACGCAGTTCTGGAATCCGCACAACCCATCATGTTGGGTCACTTCGACAGAAGCGTTGCAATCTACAGTGACTAATGTCGGAATTGGCTAACCGTCCAGTGTAAACTATCTAACACATTCGTGACGACGTGAACCCTGCAGAACTCATACGATGCCGAAATGGAAGCTGCTTTCGGTAAGCATGTCTCCACTCGTAGAGAATCCAATCAACTGCAGTAAAGCCTGCTTGAATTTACAGACCTTTAATAACAGGACAAATGTTCTCTCGTTTTACCGAGATTAATTTCTCATTTCTGGAACCCACTGAATGCATTTCTCCTATTTTAGTTCTCCAAGGCTCATATTTCGAACACGAAAGCAAATGGGCAAACGGAACTACTATTAAAATATGATATTCTCCAGTATTCCGTTTATGTTTGCAGCTGACACTCTCTCACCAGAAATTTTAAAACGGTCTCTTACTAATTTTAGGAGGGTCTTAATTTGAAGTATATTTAGGTCTAAAAGGCGACTGTATAAGAAGTTATACGATTAATAAGACACAGCAAATTTTAAAGTATTGGACTTCTAGCATAATCTAGTGCTCGATAAATTACTATTCGTTACGGAAAAAGTAGCACCGCTGCGAATGTGCCAACATAATCATGAACACTTCAAGGCCAGAACGAAAACTTGAGAAATGAAACCTACAAACTAAACTTCTACATTAAACTACATCATTCGAGTTCCATGTTTAGTAGGTTTCAGGAGCAACATTTCATCCATTGTGTTACATCGAAATGGTAGTTAGGGTTGTAAAAATATGTCCAGAGTACCATAGCGGACTGTGGTAGAATTAGTGAATTTCTCCAAACGACCCTCCATCAGACAACACCGAGTTTTCACATGGAAAATCGTTCAGAGAAAACCACCTTTTTCATTCCGAGGATTGCACATCACTCCTGTGTAAAACACCAGTAAGCAACGCTGCAAATCAATTCTGGGGTGATTGATAACGAGCTAAGATGGGCAGCTCACCGATAACAAGGTCTGTACACTACGCCTATTTCGTGAACACACAGAACGTGCTCAACAACAATCGTCACAGAACTCAGATTTCCACTCCCATCGGTCTGAGTCTAAATTCTTTTTTGTTAAGTGACTCCAATAAGTAGGCAAATTAAAATTCTGCTAGGTTTCCAACCATTCTTGGAGGACGCCGTGTATATTACAGTGCAATTTATTAACAAAGCTGTGATACCTTGGACATCAAAGGCCCGCTTTCAGAGCAATGGGTTACGGAACTTCCTTACCACACTATGTATTCTCATGCGACAGTTAACCGAAAGCAGATTAATATAAGAGGGCTAGACCAGAAAAACCATTCTTCACACTTGAAGATTTGCAAAAAAAAAAACGTCTTCTGGGACAAGTTGACTGCCCGGTAACTTTACTATGATTAAACAGTTGTTTTCACTTCAATCGCTACGAAAAACCATACCCATTGTGTGGAATGTGCGGCTATAAAAAACGCCGAAATCGACTGAATGTACCCTATCAAATCCTTCCAAATGCTGAGAGGAATGTATCTGACTCGGACCAGATTGATACACAGTAAAGAGCAATACACATACCATCCACACCTATAGCAGGATCGAGTAACGTCTTTTCTACAATCCTGTCACGCTCATAACACCTCAAGTGCTCTAGTTCTCGAAAAACTACTGCTTGTTGTCAAGAAAAAAACCAGATAGTCCGTAAAGTCTGACTACTAGGCTTTGTCCAAAGCAGCGGAGTCTCTGAACATAGCGTCTCGCGAATGTGTTCATACTTAGATGACCCGTCCTCACAGGTCGTACGCATCCAAGCACTCCATTGGTTCTTTTCTACTTCGTAATTAATGCTCATGCAGATGATTGGATTCACATGTGTGTTCAGCAGCAAGACAAAGTGTTGTCCTCCCTCCTTATCGTTATATTGAATGGGGGTCAGTCCAGATTTCTATTGATATTTCGAGATTTCTACACTAGAGTCTCCACGGTTTCACCATACGCAAGTGCCAGAGCTTGTGGAGTACTTTGCTGCCTCACGGTCCGGATTCTTAAAGCGACAACGATTCGTGAATCCTGTTTAATACGCTGCATCTAATTCTCCGATTAGCCCTCCAACCGCTCGAGAAGACGATGACTAAATCTGTCTATGAGTCGGACTACCATAACAGAACGATCTTTAGCTCTTGATATTCCTATTTTAGCAAGGAATCCCATCACTAAAACATCACTGGACTTGGTTTGTCAGCAAAGAAGTCACCAGAGAGTTCAATCATGCCTATGAGCAGAGCAGGACCTTTCGACAACGGAAATTACACACAACTTTACGACCGAACTGACACAAAAGTCCATCACATCGCCAAGAAATGCGAGCACCTCCACACTTCCTACTATAGGAAATACTCAATGACTGGAACCATTTTAGGCTAAAAAAATGTAGGAGAACACAAAAGAAAAACGAAAGTTAACCCTGGTGGCAAACATGCGTGCACAACGTAGATCAGTCAGTGATGGCTGTTGTGACAACTGACACAACGCGTCAAGTACAAGGTAAAGAGTAACACAGAAATATGATAGATGGTGAAACAACTAGGATGACACGATCAATAACCATTTCATAGTGGTCCTAAAGATATGGACGATGAGATGACGCAAAAGCTTCGATTGCAACGGAGCTGCCTATCACGCAAGTCGCACATCGGAGGGAATACCCCACCCGAATGCGGCGAGCTGGGAGCCCTCCCCGACCAACCCAGGCCGGCCGATCGATACGTCGCACAGGGACACAAAAACATTGTATCACACCACCACCACCACCACATTCCGAACACAACATCGCTCGGATGCACACAGCACTTTGGAAAATACACCCATCGAAACACAACGAATATTTGCAGAGATAGTGCTAGATGTGAAACACTACGTCTGTCGCTGCAGAGAAAATGCGAGCGCATGCAGCATAGCGGCTAGAGGTGCTACTCTGCAATACACACTGGATTTGATCCCGTGTCTCGCACTAAGTAAGCCGTCCATTCCTCAAGGCTCTGCGAATGGCTAGTGGACTTGTCTACTATGATAGCAACGCCGACTTAATCGATAGGCCAGTGATACATCACTGTACACGGTGCTACGAATGGAGCCAAATATGTGGCGCAGCATCTCTTAGGAGTTACCGAGCGAACGCTTTATCCCTTCATTCGTCCATCATGAAAACCTCCCAGATGAGAACGTCTGCACAAATCGTTGCACAGCAGTAATACCTAGCGCTTTAACACTATTCACCCGAAGTAATTCAAGATATGGCTTTTTTTTCCCTCACGGGTTAAAAAGTGAACAAAGTCACGTTCAGACTGCGATGTTACACCTAAACGAACATTGTAAACTGATCGAGTTCAAGACAACGAATTTGCAAACAGAACGGCTCACGAAGG